ATTATGATTCAGTTCAAAATATCTTAACATTTTTATTGTGACTTTTTTTTGATGCATAAGTGATTTATGAGAGTATTACTAAATTTCCAAATATAAAGGATTTTGAGTCTTTTGTTGGTGGTGATTTTTAGCTTAATTACACTGGATTAGAAAGCACATTCTTCATGATCTCAATATTCTTAAATGTGCTGAGATTTTTTTAAGCCCTGTGATAAAGTTTTAACAAACAACAGCTCATATGTTTGAAACTTAAAATGTACTCTTAAATCATGCTCAGATTAAAGAGATAATCATCAATGAAACTGCAAAATATTTTGACCTGAACCACAATGAAACTGATGCATATTTAAATTTCTGGGTGCAGTTTAGATTATAGTTAGCAATTTAGAGCCTTAAACAATGTCTTCAAAATTAAAAATAAAGAAAAAGATTGAAAAGAAAAAATTCAACTCAAGGAACTAGAAAAAGAATGCCAGGATAAGATTTTAAGAAGTAGAAGAAAATACAACAAACACAAACAGATACATATAGTAAAGTTTGCTGCAGGATTCTCTATAAAAGCCAAAAAAAAAAAAAAAGTAACTTTTAATTACCAGACACCAGATTCAGAATTGACAGCTGAAAACGGTTTCCCTTTAGTTATATAAATTGTGGTATGCCCATTCACTGGAATATTATGCAGCCATTATACATGTATCTATGACTCTATTTATTGACCTGGGAAAATGCCCAAAACACATCATTAAGTAGACAAGGTTGGAAAGCAGCAAATACTGTATTCACTAAGTTTCTTCAGGATGTAAAGAATTGCTTCTGGCTGGACTAGGAGAGACAGAAGGAGAAAAAGAAAGGGAGGGAGGGAGGGCATGGCTTCACATGTTGGAAAATTTCATGGGATTAAAGAATAAAACAACTAAGAATGAGGAAAGGGCTGAAACCAGCATAGTTTCATGGATCTCAGTAGAAAAAAAAAAATTCCAAAGAACATTTTTTGAGTTGGTGTAGATTAGTCTAGGTTGGATCTGATGTCTACACCAAAGCCAAGCAGCTTTGGTTTATCAAATAATGAAACCCTGATTATTAAGATGGCCCCAGAGTAAGAAAAATTATTGTGCGTGTACCCAAGATGTGTCTATCACCAGTAGAATCCCTTTTTTCTAATATAATATGTGTGGGTATGTGTGTATGTGTGTATCAGATGGTAATGGGATAGCAAGTGATGGTCACTCCCTTCTATACTTTTCGATGTACCTCAATGAGTATGTTCACTCCCTTCTATACTTTTCGATGTACCTCAATGAATATGTATTACTTTTATATTTTTTTTAAAAATGCAATTTTCTGTTTGAGAAAGAAAAACTCACTTCAGAATATGCTAGCATATTTGATGAGATTCTGGACAGACCTGACAGCCAGAGGGTACAAAGCTTTCATCAAATAGTCCTAAGAAAGCAAAGTGACCACCAGCTCCATCTTCCTCTCAGCTGTCTGCCCACCTCCGCTTCCCTGTCACTCACCCAAATCTGTTCTCTGATTCGAGAACAAAAAAGAAAAGGTTATTAGCCTGTAGGATATAGGGCAAATGCAAGGACAATAGACCCAAATCATCCCAACAGAAGGAAACAGTTTTCAGCTGTCAATTCTGAGATCATCATCTGGTAATTTCATGCTCTGCAAAATCTGGAGTCTTTGATGGAGCCTGCATCTTTTTCTGCTATTGATTCACAGAGGATGGGCTTTGGTTGCTCTTTCCTCCCTTTTTCCTTTATATGTACACATTGCAGGAGGAAAAAAAAATGCAGGTATTCTTTTAAAATCTTTTCAGCCCCTCTTGTGTCTCCAGCACTGCCTGTCTGGGCATTTTCATGCACATATCACAAATGAATATTCATTTGACAAACACTGACCAACATCTCCTCAAGACAAAACAGCTCAGGCTTTGGCATCAGCATTCCCTGGGTTTGAATTTTGGCTTTTTTTTTCTTTTACTATTTGCATGTCTGAAAGATATCATAGGGCTGCCATAAGCCTTTGTTTCCTAACCTGTGGAAGGATTTTGTGAGGAGTAACTGAGGCAGATGAGCATCCTAGCTTCTAACCCACACTTGTCTATAGCACCCTCTAGACTATCCAGTTAAGGGAAAGAATTACAGCTTCTTCATCTTTGTTTGCCAAGACCCAGGACAGTGCCCACAGAAACAAGGACTACCACTTGTTGAGCTATTATACTAGGCACTACACTAAACATATACCCTTACCAATCCTTTTACTTGTCTGTGCCCCAAACTGTACCCCAACCATGTTTTAGCAATCTCCTATACCTTTTGTGTTCCTAGAATGGCGCCAGGTGCTTTAGCAGGACTCCCATAATTATTTGTAGAATTAATGCATGTAGCCAACCAGCAACACACCCTTATATTTAATCAACATCTCTCCTCATATCAAAGGTCTCTTCCCGACAGACACAAAGGCGGCGAGAAGTCACATGTTAATGTTGATGTTGAACCATTGAACTGAGGCACAAAGATATTAAGTGGCTCATCCACCATCAGTCAATGGTATAATGTCTTTCTACGTTCCCATATCCATTCCCTACTCAGTCTCCAAGTAAGAAAAGAACAGAAAGTCCCTGGGTGTGAGACAAGGAGATAGCTCCCATGCCTGAGGATGAGCATAAGAACAAAGGAGGCCATTCACCAACCTTCACAGAACATAGAGCTTCAAGGTGAGAAAAGAAACCTTCCAAAATGGGGGTGGAAATCACTACTCAGGAACCCCATATTTAACCTAAAAAGTCAAAAAGTGAATTGCCCTGTTGGCGAGAAATCCCAAGAAGTGAATGGTGAGCACCTGTCTGGGGTCTCCCAAATGTATCCGTCTTCAAAGGCACCTTCTGCTCCCAGAGGGTGACCACCATGGGCATCAGTGAACACTTGCGCTTTCCTCTCAGGTACAACAAATAGAACTGATTTGTTTCTCAGATGAGCCTGTTTCTATAATTCCAGAACGTGCTCAGACTGCCCAAGGGTGTTGTGTCAAAATGCAGGTCCTGTTTGATTCCAGAGCAGAGGCTGCTCTTCTTTTTACCAAGTATAAAAACAAAACAAAAAATAAAGATGGCAGAAAGTGATCAAAATCTTGTTGGCTCCTTTGATGGAAGAAAAACTCACTTGAAAAGTAAGAAAACCAAGGGGACGATGTAGAAGTAAGTGCTGCCAATTAAATTTAGGATCAAGAGTGCCAGCAGATACACTTCCTGCTCAGAACCATGAGCATCCCATCAGAACAGAACTGGGTCACAGATTGCACCCCAATCCTGATGGCTCCTTCACTGATCTACACCAGTAACGCAAGGCAACAGGTAAGTTTGTGTTACCTGGACTCACACTGGAAAAACAACCCAACATATCATCTTCCCAAATAAGGGCAAAACATAAATAACGGGCCAGCAAAGCAGACCCTCCATGGTTCTGGCAAAGAGCTCCGTGGCTCCATTTGGTGCCATGTATGAAGCACTGGGCATTAAGAATTGTGTTCCAGGGCTGGGATGAGGTTGCAACAAGTCCTGAAAAGTTCAGGACTTCAGGTAAATAATATTCAAATGCAATATTTTTTTTAAAATTAATGCAAAAGCTGCTGTAGAAAACAGTTGGAAGCTTCCTCAAAAAATTAAATATAGAATTACCACATGATCCAGCAATTCCACTTCTGGGGATGTACCCAAAGAGAACTGAAAGAGAGACTTGAATCCCCACATCCATCACAGCCTTATTCACATTAGCCAGGAAGCAGAAACAACCCAAATATCCATATGTTGTATACCTACAATGGAATATTATTCAGCCTTTAAAAAGAAGGAAATTCTGACACATGCTACAACATAGATGGACCTAGGGGCACCTCGGTGTCTCAGTTGGTTAAGCGTCCAACTCTTAGTTTTGGCTCAGGTCATGATCTCAGTATTGTGAGATCAAGTCCTGAAGTCAGGCTTGCTGAGTGTGGAGCCTGCTTAAGATTCTCTCTCTCCCTCTCCCTCTGCCCCTCTCCTGCCCCCACTCACACACTTTCTCTCTTTCTCCAAAAAACGAAACAAAACAAATAAGCAAAAAAACATGGATGGATCTTAAGGACATTCCGCTAAGTGAAATAGGCCAGTCGCAAAAAGACAAATACTGTCTGATTGATTCCACTTACAGGAGAAGCCGAGAGCAGTCAAATTCATAGAAACACACAGTAGAATGGCAGTTGCCAGGGGCTGGGGGAGGGGTGGATGGAGAGTTAGTGTTTCTTGGGGACAGACTTTCAGTTGGGAAAGAGGAAAGGACTTCTGGAAATGGATGGTGGTGATGGATGTCTAACAGTGTGAACACTCTTAATGCCTCTCAACGGTGCACTTGAAAATAGTTAAAATGATAACTTTTGTGTTATACATACTTTACCACAATAAAAAATGGGAAAAATGGAAAAAGCTTCATGATGAACAAAATGCAAACATTTTAAATAAAGATGGGATCAGTACTACTGATTTTTCCTTTTGCCTGAGGCTCCAATATGGCTCCATGTGGCTCGTATCCAGGTCAGTATCCTGTTCACTACAGATTATTTTTGAATTGTGATTTTTGCAAATATTGCCTTGAAACATTGCTTGCCTTGATTTCTGAGATCTGGGGCTCCCCCATTAAATTCTGTGACCCAGGAAAGTGCCTCCCTCTCCTTCCCTGCTTCTCCCTGGGCCCTGTATCTTTCCATTGCTTTCCCTTGACATCCAAGACCTCTGCATTTCCATTTAGACTCCAGCCTCTCTCCGTTGTGTCTGGAGAAAGAGAAGGGACCCATAAGCTGGTGCCTCTGGATCATCAAAGTCATGTTTTCGTCTGTCAACCTTCCTGATGCTCCCTGGGCTCATCACGGACTATAATTTGCGTTTATTCACACGCCAGTTCCCCCTTGCCCTAATCCCGTCATCACCTGGAACCTGTCAGCCCGTGACCCCGCAATACCTTTAGCAGAAGGCCCTGCGGAGCTCCTGTGCCAGCTGGTTTTCCTCTTCTGGAAGAATCAATTCCTCGTGATCCTCTGAGCTGTAATCTCATCAGGCTGGAATAACTTGACACTCCCATTCGACCGAAACCCAAGTCGTTTGTCTTCCAAACCTCAGAGCTGGAGTTGTTGGGAATTCCACCCACTGGCCTCCTCTTAGGGGACTGTGACCACTTCATCAGCTGCTTCTGCCTTGCCTCTGAGAGAGCAGGGGCTAGGAAAGACGAGAAAATTCCTGAGCAGCATGGCGTGAGGCTGCCAGCAAAGACTTCTGGGTGAGAGCACCTCCCATCCTTAGAGGGAGCCTGGCTCACACAGCCTGGCCTGGCAGCTGGGACAGAGCTCAGACAGGGTTCTACAAACTCCACAGGAGGCACAACTGTCCACAGCGATGCTGGATCTTGGGTGAATTCTTCTTCATAGCAACACATGTCAAGAAGCTGCACAACAGTCCATGGAGCACCAGGTGAAGGGTAAGGGAAGCTAGGGCCAAGGCCAACCCTGCCCCATAGCAGCTGTGTGACCTCAGGCCCTTTGGGCCTCAGTGGCTTGACTCCATGGTGGGGATAAAAATGGCCTGGACTATTTCAGAGGAGGCCCACACAATAAAATGAGTTCCTCATTGTGGAAGTGTTTGAAAACTCTCTAGTGCCAAACAAATATAATAGGTTATTTTGATAGTTATCTAACCAAAAGCAATGACGAAGCACTTTTCCAAATGAAACCCGAAACAAGGGATTGAGCCCTTGTGATACACCAGGCAACATGGGCCAGAGTTTTGAGAGGACTCATGCTGGGGCAGTGGAGACCCCAGGAAGCATGAGTAAGGCTCCAGCTCCTTGTCTTATACCCTTTTGCTTCATGGGACTGCAGACCAACTACGGGCTGAGTATGGAGAGATCTGAGCCATGGGGCAGGAGAAGCATCATGACCCAGAGCACCCTGGAGGAGCCTGGGGTGCTGTCCTGAGGACAGCCAAGAGAGCATGCAACGGAAACAACACGGATCCAGCATCTCTTCCAGACTCATCCCAAAGCCTGCAGAAGAGAAAGGGGTCCAAGAGCATCCCGCTTAGAGTAGAGGAGGTACAATAAATAGTGGTCCCATGGAGCCAAAGCTGACCAGAAAGTTCCCATGTACCTAGGCACGCCCCAGGTGACATGTGAGAGTATAGACATCTGCAGAGCATGCACCCAAGTGCCATGAACATTTTTCTTTTTTGGTTACTCAGCAATGAGTATCCTCCCTTGTTTATAGCATATCCCCCTCGTGCTTCTCTGTAGAAAGCAGAGCCAAATAGTTTTTTTCCTAGGCTCCCTTGCAGCTCAGCAAAGGCAAAAGGCTGGACTTCGAGTCTGGCCTTAGCACAACATGCAAAAGAGGCAGAGCATCCTTCCGGCAGCGTGGCAGTGGCCATGACAGCAGCTTGGCACTTCCAGGGGCAGGAATGTCCAGTGCCCTGGGCCAGCAGCAGAGGTGACATAAGTGGACATGCCCAGTGCTCAGGGATGGCAAAAGCAGGATCTTGGGTGAATGTGTCTCCATAGGAGCTTCTCCCCAGCTGTAGTCTGGAATGTGATTGGGGTTGTGGTCCTCGTTGATGACATGTCTCTTATTCATGCCTGCTTTCCAAACCTAGTTCTAGAACCTTCCCTAAAGGATTTTTGGCCTATCTAATTTCTGGTCAATAAACCTCTTTACTATTATATCAACAGAAATAGTATCTCTTGTTTACCTTGATGAGTTCCGGGTGGTACGCCAAGTAAAACAAGTATCACAGGCCAACACCCGCCAATCCCTGACACATGCTAGGAACACCCCCAGCAACCCACAGCTTCTCAGGGGCCCTGAAACCCAGGGCACTGGTGCAAGGAATGTGCCCCACTGCTCAACTCACATAGGGCAAGATGAAAACCTCCCTCAGATGAGGAACAAAATCACAAATATTTAGTTCATGTCAAAAGTTTAAAGAAATTTCAGATTTTTTGATCTTATGTTTCAGTGGGTTTTATCTTAATAAAAGAATTCTTCTCTGTAGTGACTCTGGCCAGAACCTGGATTAAGAGAACTTTCAGAAGTTAGAATGTATTCCTGGCACCACCTACCTTAGAATGAATAAATGAGGACTTGGCTTGCTAATTCAGGAGGGTTGCCAATTCCTGAGTTTGGAAAATGCCAAAATCTTATGGCCATTGCACAGAAAGAAGGTTCAGCAGAAGAGGCCTGGCTCCAGGCCAGCCACCTCCTCAGCACTAGGCCTAATCCTCAACTTAGTCATCACTGACACACAGAACTCCAGGTACGTACAGACTCCCCAGGCCCCAGCTTTACTCCTCAAGAAAGGAGGCAAATGGCATCTTCATCATCTCTTAGGCTCTCTGTACAGAATGTGGACCAAGGAAAATGGCATGATTTCTTTTGAGATAACAGCATAAAATCTAGTATAATCACAGAATTCTGAAGCTGGAGATGGTATGTACAGGTAAATACTTAACAACCAACTCTCCAAAAGGAAAAAAAAGGACAAATGGGTGAATGCATGTATAAGGATACTATAGATTTTGCTGATATAACATGCATTTACAATACACAATTTCTAGATTGTAATAAAATACCCAACTGAAGATTCCACAGTTAATTTTTGCTGAACCCTTGTATTCGTGGTCAAATTACGGTCATAATTCCACCAGGATTTGACAAATAGAATTGCATATCAGTCTGCTAAGTCTCTTCCCAATAAATGTATTGTTATTAAATAGGATGAGATCCACCGATACACTCACTTTTGTACAAATTATGTTCATTGAACTAATTCCTCTCTCCCCTTCAGCTCTGGTCATGTCAGACTTTTAAGTCTAATGTGCATTATTAATATTTTCTCCTTTACTTTAAGTCTAGAATATAATAAATCAAGCACGGATTTATAGCATTTGACCATTTCCTTGGTGTAAATACTCGCATCACGATCAATATCAAGCAACCAAGCGCTGTCACGAACCACTGAGTTGAGGAGGGATGGCCAGTAGCTCACCGTTATGTAGTATTTCCATGATACAGATACAATTGATGTAAAAAACTCAAAGACATAAATAAAATGTACTGTAATAATTAGACAGTGATGTGTTTTGAATATTTATTACCTTTGTTTTTAGTAAAGATGTGATTTTTAAATTTATATAATTCTCAATAATCGCTATAGTTAACAACCAGCTCCCTAAATTCCTAAGAACCTAATCAGCCTTCAAACACTGGTACAAGTGGACTCCAGCACACCCCTCGCTGGAGGAGACCTGAAGAGATCTACTTCTACATCTGTGTCTCCACATATACAAAATATCTGGAGAAGGGAGGTAGGGAAGGGGAATACTGGGATTAGGAAATCGAACTGCTCACAAGATGTCCTTTGCGTTCATAAGAAGTTCTGGATGTTAAAAGGGTAGAGTCTGAGTTCTGGTATGGTTGCCCTGGCATGACGCCTCCAGCGCCTCAATGCTTTTATGGATCTGACCTATTTTCACACCAAAAAAAAAAAAAAGTGCTGATTATTCTCCAGTTGCCAACTTTGGCTACTGGTTGCACAGACCTTGGTCTATCCCTGCAGACACACCCTTGGTTTTGACAGCATTTCCCGTAACTGGGCAGTTCCAGAAGAATGACACAGCTGGAGATGATTTGGAAGACAATTAAAGCTAACAAGCTGACCCAGCAAAAGCAGCGAAGAAGACAGGAAATGGCTCTGGCTAGAGGAGAGTTTTGCCGAGATCGCTGGGAAGAGACCATTTAGGAAGGAAAAATGGGAGGTCTGCTTTACCAACAAAAATTAGGATTTGCTTAACCACTCCTTGATAAAAATTAGGATTTGCTTAACCACGCCTTGACCTTGGCTGAAATGGAGGGTGTGCTTTTGGCGGTGCTGTGGGGACCCGGGCACTTTTCTGTCCTGTTGATAGAAGCATAAATCCGCACAGCCTGTATGGAAGTGTTTGACAGTGACTCTCAGGGTTTTAAGGGCACATTCTCTATGACCAGATACTCAAGGATTTGCATTGCAACACTGTTTGAATGAATAATGACACTGGATTAGAAACAAACTCAAAGTCTATTGACAGGTGGCTTGCTAAATGTATAAACGACAACAGATCCAGGTATAGGAATACTATACAACCACTAAAAAGAATAGGGCATCTTTTTATTACCTGTTGAATGATCAGAAATATGCCGTTAACTGAAAAAAAGGGGAGGAGCACTGGATGCTACCATTTGGATGCTTTAAATAATGTATTTATACACTTAAATGAGTATAAAACACCTTTGGAAGGATACGCAAAGAAACTGGGCACAGTTTGCCTCTGAAGAAGAGAATGGAGAGAGGCCAAGAGTGGAAAAAGACTTACCCTACAACATGTTTTAATTTTATATCATGGATGATCTCATTTTTTAAAATTATTTTTTAATTTTACTTCCAATGTAATTAACATAGCATTAGCCACAGATGTACAACATAGTGATTCAACAATTCTGTACATCACTCGGTGCTCATCGTGATAAATGTACTCTTAATCCCCACCACCTATTTCACCCATCCCCCCCTCAATTTTCTAATCAAATAAATAATAAAGTGTGTGGCTATTTTTAAAACAGCAATAGCAACTACACTTCGATGGGTCTTAACCACTGTCCTGAGCTCCCTTGAGTTTTTTTTTTTTTCAGTCACATTCTAAAGGGACCCCTCCCCTGCAGTCTGCCTGGACCCTCCTGGTCCGGGCCTAGGAAGTCCGTGTCCGGGGAAACTACAATGGTTGGTCACGCTGTTCCCCTCCCATATCCACGTGGTCCCTAAGGTGAGCTGACCACGGTGTCCACCCCAATGGGCTTCTTCTCCCTGTCTCCCGCCAGTTCTTCCCGATGGCCAAGTCCAGCCAGAAACCAGGGAGCAGGGAGCCATTGGTGGCAGTCCAAGCAGGTCAGCCTCCTGGGCCCTGTGTAGGGGGGAGGCTGGGGAGGAGGCCTGGAGGGGCCTGGCTTCTCCAAGAGTTCTTACTTTGATGACCTGGAACAAGGACAAGTAGGGACTAAAACATGGGTTCTAGTTTTAGTTTAAGATTTATTTAGTTTAAGATTTTATTTGAGAGAGAGAGAGAGAGCAGGGGGAGGGGCAGAGGGAGAGAGAGAAGCAGGTTCCCCACTGAGCAGGGAGCTCATCGCAGCCCAATC